GTCGCCACTTCGTTGTTCTGTCTTCGTTGTGCTACCGCGCCATCTCCGTCTTCATAGCAGCTGTTATGGAGCGTTTGAATGCTTTTGGATCGCCTTGTGCTGCCATGATCCATTGTGCTTTGCTGGGGATCTTCTTGGCCTTGTGGTTGCCATCCAGAAACTGCTGGTTATGCTTGATGTCTGCCGTGATTTGCTCCGTCCATCGTCCACCGCTGTGTATGTCGTCGTCAACTGGCGCCTGTAACTTGCCTGGGCATCCTGCAAAGAATCTGAATATCTGTCGTAATCGCTGTGTTCTTAATCGTGCAGCAAGCGTCGGTATTGCCGCCCTGATGATGATATCGCTACTGGCGATCGCCTTCTCCTTGATCTCGCTGTGGCTGATATGCAGAGCCTGCCGTGCCGCAGCAGTGTGTGCCGTATCGAGCGAGTGCTTCGGGATAGTGTATGTTTGCCTTTGTTGTTATACCTCTCCTCTGGAACAACGTACTGTGCATCGGTCCAGTAGCTCTCTTCATTGATATGGTTCTGCTTGCCACCTCTTGTGTCATATCGTTCCTGTCGTTGAACATAGCTCCAAGCAGGTTAGTATATCTGGTGTTTGCAACCTCCATTCAGCTGCAGCAGCCACTCTTCTTGGTGGTTGAATTTTGTCGCGCTTGTCGCATGCCCTTCGGCGTGTTGGCGTACATCATGAAGTTGGACTTTGTCGTGTTGATTGGGGGTCCTTTCTTGAGTGTCACTGTAGTTAGATGCTTCCACATGGTGCTGATGACCCCGTCGAGCTCATCGTTGTCGTCCGTCATTGCAGCCGCCTTCACGTCGTCCACGAATGACGTCGATATGAGTGTCTTGTCCGATTCGTCTTCTTGCATAATACACTCTTGCCTTGGTATGGGTCTTTGGGATCTCGATGTTCTCGAATATGTAGTCAATTTCCTGCTGGCTATGTGCTAGGTCGTATATCATCCCATTGATTACTTTGTGGAACGCAGCCTTCAAATCGATCATGATTAATACTAGGTTCTTGGTTCTTCTGTGTGCAGCCTCACATAATAAGCGCAAGGTCATGCGATTGAAATCCGTGCGGTAGTGTGTCCGCCCACCTGTCTGCGTGCTGAAGAGTATGTTGGGGATGAGATGTTTCATGCGCTGTCTTATGTGTCTATAGTGGTGCCTAATGACAGCGTTGGCAAGCGTGATCGATCTCTGATTCCCCAGTTTCTCCTCATTGCCCTTGCCCTTCCAGAAGTACGTCATCCTCGGTCCTTCGTGGGCTATGCCTTCCCTGCAATACGAGGCCGCCTTCGTGATGATGGGGTGCATGTGCCTGGCCATCTCTTGTGGTGCAATCTTGGCCAGGTCGTCGGTGATGGCGTCAGGTCCTGGCGCCCGTGTTGGTTTAGCAGCATTTAACAACTCGGTAAGTTCGATAGTGCTGGCGAAGTTCTCTATGCTTCTTCACCTCGTGGTGGGCCAAATCCGTGGTCTTGTTGTACTGACTGGTGATGTTGTCGGCGCTTCCAATATTCGCAGCCTCACTGCTTCCAAAGTGCTTGGTAGCTTCGGCTCTCGTCTCGATGTCATCCGCTAATGGCTCGCCATCACCCTTAGTCATCATAGGAAACGCCTTCGCCTTTCTTCTTTTCCGTCCTCCAACGATAGTAGTTTTTTGGTATATTTCCATTCGCTGTAATGGTCGCGCGCCTCCCTCGCTTCCGCTGCTGCTGTCGCTTGCCTCTCTAGGAACTTCTCGTAGTCATCGTTGGCCATCCTGTAGATGATTCTCTTTGTTTTGTTAAGCTACTCCTTGGTGTTGTAAACGAAGTTATTGACCTTTCCCGAGCAGATGGCGTCCTCCGCCGAGGTGAGTAGTGCAACTGCGCATGGATATAGCTGTTCCATGTACTCTTTTGGTATGCTTCTTGTTGGTTTGTCTATCGTGGCAGTTGCTTCTTTTATGATGCGTTTCATAATTGCAGGTTGGTCCTTCGAGTTCGCGTTGGTCATTATAATCATCTTGGCGAGGCCTCGTCGGTCTAAGATCGCGTGCAAGGTCCCGTCGCTGACGCACTCCTGATACCGCTTGGCCTGCGGCTTGGGGAACGCTGCCTGCGCTGCTTCCATGACCGTGAGCATGTAGTAGTATACAGGTTCGTCGCAATCCATCGCCATTGAGGTAGTACTGTAGCATCGAGGTGCCTCCGGAACTTCATTGCCGCTGCCTTGTCGTTCATGGCGTCGCGATCAATCTTGGGAAACAATCCTTTCTGTGCGCCGTGCCGTATCGTCCACCCAGCTGTAGCCTGCACTGGTGTATGATCTTCTCGCTGTTGATCCCTCTTGGGGATCTTTTGGGCCGTCTGGAAACCCTCTTGGAGGCATATGGGGTTTCCTTGAATTGACTTGGGTTTTTTTTGGTTTGCTGTGGGCTTCGTGAAAGGCCAAGAAGCGAATGTACTAAACTTGGACGTTTCCCGCTGTTTGCTTGTGGAGGGCCGATGTTTGCTTGTGGAGGGCCTCTTTGGCCTCGTCCTGGTGGCGTGTTGGGGCGAGCAAGGGGTCTTAGGGGCCGCGTGAAAGGCCAAGAGGCGAACGTGTTGGAAATATGTACTTTCCATCGAGAATGGGATTGTTGCTTCTGGAAGGCTTCTTAGGACGCCTCTGGATAGCGTCTTGAGGCGTCTTGGGGGCCTGTAGGGCTGTCGAGAGGCAATGTTGGACGACTTGGGGCACTGTTGAACGACTTGGGCCGACCAGGAGGCCTTTTAATAAACCTCTTGGCCCGTCTTGGAGCCCTCTTGGGGCCGTCCTGTGGCTCTCCAGGGCCGTTGCTATCGCTTCTGGGGCCTTCGCGGGGCGCCTGGAGGCCGTCTTGGAACCCTTTTGAAAGCCTCTGGGGCTGTAGGCGGTCGACCTTGGATGCTTCTTGGGCCGCTCTAGGACTCGTGGAAGCCCAAGAGGCGAATGTGCTGAAAATGAATGGTTTCCCCAGGGAATGGGCAGATTTTTGCTGCTGGAGGCCTTCGTGGAACGCCTCGTAGTGGCTTTTTTTTCAAACGTCTCGGGGGCCTACGGGGAATCGTCTGCAGGCAAGCTGTGGCGGTTTGGACCAACTCGCCTCCCTCGTGGGCCGTTCAGAAGGCCTTTGGGGACCCTCTTGGCCTGTTGTGGGGCTCTCGTGGGACCGTCCTGCGACTGTCCTGGGCCGTTGCTGTGGTTTCTGAGGCCTTCGTGGTGCGCCCGGAAGCCGTCGTGGAGCCTTTTTGAGAGCCTCTTGGGGTGTCGGGGGTCGAACTTGGAGGTGCACTTGTTGTAGGCCTCGTGGAAGCCCAAGAGGCGAATGTACTGAAAATGCATGTTTTCCTTCGGGAATGGGGCGTTTTTTGCTTCTGGAGGCCCTCTTGGAGCAACTCGTGAATGCGTTTTCAAACGTCTTGGGGGCCTATGGGGCCGTCTAGAGGCAATCTTGGGCGGTTTGGACCGAATCGTCCCCCGCGTGGGCAGCCTTTGGGGATCCTGTTGACCCGTTTCGGAGCTCTCTTGGGACCGTCCTGCGGCTCTCCTGGGCCGTTGCTATGGTTTCTGGAGCCTTCGTGGATCGCCTGGAAGCAGTCGTGGAGCCTTTTCGGGAGACTCTTGGGCTGCGGAGGGTCGATCTTGGAGGCTTCTTGGGCCGCTGTGGGCAGCGTAGAAACCCAAAAGGCGAATGTGCTGAAAATGTGCGTTTTCCCTCGGGAATGCAATGGTTTTTGCTTCTGGAGGGCCTTCGCGGGGCGCCACGTAGTACAATTTCAAGAGTCTTGGGGACTGATGGGGCCGTCTGGAGGCAATCTTCGGCGTTTTGGAACGATCTTTCGTCGACTCGTAGCTCTCTCGGACCGTTCCGGGACCCTTTGAAACCTTTTTGGCCTTTTTGGGGGGCCTCCTGAGGCTCCAGGTGTGCAGCTGACACCTTTGCCCTTCCCCCCCCCCCCCTCCAAACCGGCCGGACCGGGCCCCCGGGGGAGGGGTCTGGGGAGGGGGAAGCATCTCACACGCCGTGACCCGAAGGGGTCGGCGGATTTCACATAAGTTTAGGGACGATTTGGGCCTTTCGGGGGGGTCTTTGGAGGGCTCCGAGCCACTTGGAGCTGTCTTGGGGCATCTTGGGGGCTTGTCGGATGATATCACGAAGCATCTTGGATGCCTGGGGGCCATGTCGGATCCCAAGATGTCGTCTACCACGTCGGGACCACCCCGTCCAGACCCAGGAGAGAGACTTGCTCTCTAATAGGGCGGTCGAACCCCCTCAGTCAGCGCTGGGGCACAGGACCTGCACGTGCGGAGGATGCCCGCGCTCCAAGAGGGCCCCAAGAGGCCTCCAAGACGGTCCAAGGGGCTTTTCCTTAGCTAGTGTGGCTCAAAGCTCAAGCATGCTGGGCACGGCAGCGGGCAGGGCACACGCGCCATGGTCAGCGCCTGCCAGATCGCGCAAGCCATCATCAAAGTCTATGTGCCATGCCTGATCGGCGCATTTTTGTTGCAGGACCAGCCCCTCACGGCCCTGCTTGCGCCCCGCGGTCCGCTCGCGCTGTTCTCTGTCGGCCCGGCAAGCAGGCTCGACGCCGCGGCGCCGCTGGTGGGCCAAACGGCGGCGGTGGCCAGCCCGGCACCAGGGCTGGCGCCACGAACGAGGCCGACGCCGACGCTGACGCCGAAGCCGACGCCAGGGCCACCCGCAGCTGGCGAAGGCCGCGGGCCTGCTGGCGGGGGCGCGGAAGAAGACGAGCCCCCGCTCCCGGCCGTCCTGGAGCACGGCTGGTTCCGTGATTCCAGGTGTACGAAGCTCGCCATCCCGTGGAGGGGTGCCCCCAGCAACATAGACGTCTGGCGTCCCAACGGGTCTTGCCTCCATACAGATGGAAGCAAGGAGTCGTACCAGTTTGTCTGCAGCGCGTCCCTTGGGCTCGTGTTCGTGCAGAAGATGGGCCGAGATTGCAACACGTTGAAGCAGCAGAATGCCAACAGCGCCCGAGATGTGGCAGCGCATAAAGCGGGGCGAGTGCATCTTCTATGGCACCGCCGAGATGGGCAACGACGTGTACAGCCAGCTGAACACGACGCTGCCAGCATCGTACGGAGTGGGCTGCGCGGCCTTCCCCCCCCCCCCGCGGCCTTCTATCGGGGACAGGGCCGGCGTCGCCTGCCCTCCCGGCTCGGCCGCGCTCGGGGTCGACGGCGGGCGCAGGCTCGAGCTGAGCCTCCTCCTCCCGTCGAAGTTCAGAGACCTCTTCGCCTCCGAGCAGGTTCAGCAGTACAGCTTTTGCATTAAATCGATCTCGGTGACGGTCGAGGACCAGAAGAACGAGCCCGCGAAGACGCTGGACAAGGGGACGCGCCGCGCACTGGACGTTCCACGAAACGAGTCTGCCTTCTCGGACGTCAAGCTGCTGCTGGCCGTCATGACGCCCACCTACGCCTGCGACGTGCGCAACGTGCACAGGACGACCTGGATGACCCACAGGCGCGTCTGCGCCTTGCGCCGCCACGCAGAGGCCGGGTGCTCGATCATGCCTCTGTTCGTATTCGCGAACGTCTCGCGCGACGCCGTTGAGGAAGCCGACGATGTAGTGTTTCTGCCCGACGTGCAGCCTTCCAAACGCCTGAACAACGGCGTCAGGGTCTGGTGGAAACTCGGCAAGAACGCAAGAACAGGGATATGTGGAGGGAGGGACAGTACAAGACCCCAGCGTGGTTCCAGCACGCCCTGCAGTATCCCTGGGCGACGCACATCGCAAAGATGGACCTTGACACGTATCCCTTCGTGACGGCGATCTACAACGACTTGATCCGCCTTCCGCCCACCCGCGTGTTCTACGGCAGGCAGTTTTCCGTGGCGGGGGGGGCATGTATGGCGAGTTCTATCTTGTCACCAAGGACGTCGCGGCGGGGTGGGTGGACGTGGAGAACTTAACGAGGAAGGCGCGGCGTGCGCAGTTCAAGGGCATCGCCGAAGACCAGACGTTTGCTACGGTCATGCGTTTGGGAGTTCATACTTATTGGTTTGCTTTAAACGGCTGTAGGCAAGTTAGATGGGTCCACATGAGATAGCCGCTTGGACACCCTGGCGCCTTGCAGTGGCAGGCCAGCCCTCTTCTCGATTGTCCAGGGGTGCACACAGTGGCCACCACGTGTTCAGGGTCCAGGGGGGGGAGGGGACAAGAGCACCAGCATCTAAGAGTGAGCGCCCATGTCGCACGTCAGCCCAGACCTGTCTGCTGTGCCGAGTCAGAGCTCCGATCGGCGTGTGGAGATTCGCCCAGGCCTGGCCTGCTTGAAACGATGCCCCGTGCGCGGGTGCTGTTCGTTGGGGGAACGCCGCGGGAAACCAGAGACCAGAGGACAACGTTGTCTGTTCTTACGATTCCGTGAGTCGTTCGAAGAGGGAGCAACCGGACAGTTTACACACATCGCGCGCGTAGTCTTTGATCCCAGAGTTCCCAGCCCAGGCGCCCGACCCGAAGGGAGCAACCGGGGAATTTGAGCAGATCATGTTCTTTCTTCTTTCGCCCTGCCTCGTGGCCCGGGTCTTGGCGGGCTGCCAGCGCAGGCGTGATGGTTCCCATTTTTTCGGCTGCCCAGGCATGCTCCAGAGCCGTGACCAGAGGCCGTCCCTCAGGGAAGGGGAGGGGAGTTGAGGGGATGGAAGGGGAACCCTCCCCCCTCGGTTGCAATTTGTTCGTGACGTCGGCCCCTGGTGATCTCGACCCTTTCCCTGGCCGCGGACGGTGCTTCATCCTGAGTCGTGTTCGACGCCCCTGATGCCGGAGACGGCTCCACGCGGCTGCAAACGACGGAAAATTGGCCGCCACCGTTTTTGCGCGTCGCCTGGCGACGACGACCCCCCCCCCCTTTCAAAAGACAGTTGTAGGTCGCCTGGCCTTGAGGGAACGAGCATGAAGTCGGACACGTCCCCCTACAGTACAGGAGGAAGATTCAGCAAAAGTCAAGCAATAGTCTGAGGTCGATTTTTGATCATTGTTGAGCACTGTTGGTCTAGTTTTTGCGTATTCTCTAATTGTCCGCCCAAGATCCGCCCGTGGGGGGACAGGCCGACCTGAGATGAGCACCGGGTGGCGCCAGGCGGCCCTGCGCCGAGACTAGCTCGGGAGGGCTGCGCGCACCCCGCTCTCCTCCTCACCCTCCTCCTCCTCCTCCCTCCTCCTCCTCCTCCTCCTCCTCCTCCTCCTCCTCCTCCTCCTCCTCCTCCTCCTCCCTCCTCCTCCTCCCTCCTCCTCCTCCCTCCTCCTCCTCCTCCTCCTCCTCCTCCTCCTCCTCCTCCTCCGCTTCTTCCTCCTCTTCTCCCTCCTCCACCGACCTTAGCCGAGCGGGTCCTGGGACCCAGGATCGCTGGACACGCCTTCCTGGCGAGAGCCAGAGGGACGGCGGGTGCACTGGCTTCTTTGGGTCGGGGGCGGCCAAGAGGGTGTGGATGGGTATCATGGCGGGGGCCATGATGTCTCCCCACGTTTCATGGCGCCTCTTCTTATTTCATTGCGTCCCCGCTCCCCCACCCCACCCTTGGGCCGCGCACAATCCGCCGGCCATGATTTGCGCCCCCCCTTTCGGACGCCCCCCTCTTGGCCGACCCCGACGGGGGGGCCCCCGATTTGGGGCCGAGGGATCGGCCAGGCCGGCATCGGCGTCGCAATAGTGTCCCCACCAGCCCATCGAGAGACAGTTCCCCTGGGAGCTATTTGGAGGAGGGGCGCAGTTCCCAGACCCCGACGTCATGATTTTTTCATGACGACGACCCCCCGAGGTCTCGACCGATTCCCCGCGACCGGTTTTTCCTCCCGAGTCGTTTTTTCACGGCCCCAAAGCACGGGAAGGGCCCCCAGAGGCCGGAAATGGCGAAAAACCTCCCGTCATGATTTTTCCCAACCATCTTGTGGTGTGTGGTCCTCGTTTTGAAGAGACAGCGCTCCCTCCTCTCCTCTCCTCTCCTCTCCTCCTGCCCCTCCTCCTCCTCTTCCTCCTCCTCCTCCTCCTCCTCCTCAGGTCCTCCTCCTCCTCCTCCAGCCCTTTCTGGCCCGAGTCGGGTCTGCAGGGGTAGAAACATTGGGAAAGGGCTATTTCTCTCCTGCGAGCCAAGCCTTGGCTTCTGGGTGTCCTGGGTGGCGTCCCGTGGATTCCTGGACTATAAACGGGTGCTGCGGCCAGGTTGGCCTTACTTCCGTCACGGCGCCGCCATGTCGCGCCGCCTCGCTGCTGACCAAGATAGGCCCAAGACGGCCCGAGAGGCCCCCCAAGGCACTCCACGACGCTTCAAGACGCCTCTCCAGAGCGCGAGGAGGGGGGGGTGGGGCGGGTAAGTGGTTAGGGGTGCGGATCGCCGCCGCTGGACTCTTCCGGTCGCCTGCCTGCCAAATCACCTATCGTTTGCGGCGTCGCCTTGGGGACCTCTTGGGCCGTCTTGGGGCCATCTTGGACCGTCGCGGGGCCGTCTTGGGGGCCCCTTGGGCGCCTCTTGGGCCGCCTTGGAGCGTCGGAAAGCCCAGAAGGCGAATTTGTGAACATTGTACGTTTTACGACGGGAATAAGCAAATTGTTGCGTCCAGGGACCCTCTTGGGACGCATGTTGGAGGCCTCGTGGGGGCGTCTTGGGCCATCTGGAGGCCATCTCGGGTGTCTTCGATGGCTATTGGACCGTGTGGGACCATGTTGAGCTTTCTTGGAAGCCATTTGGAGCGCTCCTGGAGCGCTCTTGGGGCCGTCTTCGGGTCTCTCTTGGGCCGTCGTCGGCGCCTCTTGAGCCGTCTTGGCGCCTTCTTGGGCTGTCTTGGTGCCCTCTTGGAGGCTTCTTGGGCCGTCTTGGGGCGGTCTTGGGGGCCTCTTGGGCCGCCTGGGAGCGTCGGAAAACCCAAAAGGCGAATTTGTGAAACATGCACGTTGAAGGGAACGGGCTAATTCTTCACGCTTCGCGTATCCCCACCAGCCCATCTCAAAACAGCAACTCTAGCGAAGCATGCCGACAGTCGTGTTTTTCAGGCGTGTTTCCGCCTGCCCCCGCATATGTCCCCTGTTCCCCCTTCCTCCCGCCTCCTTGTACATCCTCCTTGTGGTGGGAGCGGGAGAAGGACGAGGCGGAGGAGGAGGGAGAGAAAGCGCTCCTCGTGGTTTGAGTCGTTCGGGCTTCTCGTCCTGGTGTGAGTCGTTCGGGCCCTTCTTCCTGGTGTGAGTCGTTCGGGCTCTTCGTGGTGTGAGTCGTTCGGGCTCTTCGTCCTGGTGTGAGTCGTTCGGGCTTCTCGTGGTGTGAGTTGTTCGGGCCCCTCGTCCTGGTGTGAGTCGTTCGGGCCCCTCCTCCTGCCCGTCCAGAAACGACGCCCAGGCGAGTAGAGGGTCGTCCTGATGGGCTTTTCGGCGTCTTGGGTGCCTCGGGGGGGCCTCTTTGGGCCGTTTGGGATCCTCTTGGGGGCCTCCTGGGGGCCTCTTGGGGCCATCTTGGGGCCTCTTGGTGCCTCCTGGGCGCTTCTTGGGGCCATCTTGGAGGAAATCGATCAAAGAAGAGGGGGGCTTTAATTAGCGCTGCCCCCTCAGAAGGCCAAAGTGGGGCCCAAACCTTAGTAAAATCAATGATTTTGGCTTGAAAGAAGAGGGGAGCTTTAAGTAGCGCTGCCCCTTCAGAAGGCCAAAATGGGGCCAAAACCGTAGTAAAATCAATGATTTTGGCTTCAAAGAAGAGAGGAGCATTTTTCTGCCTCCCCCCGTCGGGGCCAGAATCCTCGTGAGGGGTGTCGTTTTTTAGCCTTCCCAGGAGCCGAACAAGACCCCTCCAACCACCCGCGGGGCGCCCTCTCCAGGCCCAGGGGGAGGGGGTAGGGGGAGGGGTAAACCCCTCCCCGAAGGGTATCCGTACGTGTCCACCGCTTCGTGTAAGCTGCCCCCGTTTTCGTCCTGCTCTTGTTGTAGTCCAGCTCCTCCTACGCCCATCGGTCGGATACTTCCCAATCTCCCGTTCGCATCGTTCATAATGAAATTATGTCTGTACTTTCTCATCATATTATAGAACACGTTCCAGAAGGTATTCCTTTCTTTGTCGGGCGTTTTGCTGTGAGGGCCATGTGCTACACATATTGTGATCTTGATAGCTGCCGTGACGATGTTAACGACAAACATTCGCGGCGCAGATATCAACACATGTACATCATCAGGTTTGATATGCGTAGGTCCACCCGGTGACGTAGCATAAGGTATCGCAGTATTGATCCATATCTCACATCTTGCGTTGAAGTTACGATGCCCGCTGCTGACAATGTAGTACCCGTTGCTGCTCATGGTCCTTTTCTTGTTACGCGTTTCTTGGGTGCCAATGATGTGTATCTGCCTATTTTGTAGCTGCTTTCTAAATCATGGTCCTCTACAGTCTCGTACCTGTTTTGCCATCTTCGTGAGCTTCTTAGCTCGTGGGGCTTCTGACTCACGTACATTCTGTATGGAACGAGTTCGGCCCCTGGTTCCATCGCACACATTCGCTGGCCCCAGGCGCACGCGGCGGACGCAGGCGCGAGCAGTCGCCGCGCCGCCGCTTGGCTCGCGCGCGCCGCGGCGCGCCGCAGGCGATGTGGGCAGGCCCGCGCGCCCCCGCGCGCGGCCGCTACCCGCCGCGGCCGCGCGCAGGTACCACAGGTTTGTGTGTGCCTGGGGCGCGCGCCCCGCGCTCGGGATTTGACCCACCCGTGCCCACCCCGTTTCTCGCCCGTTGCTGGGTCGTGCTGCGACCAGCACCGAGGCCTCGTGGCGCCCGCGCCCTCTTGGCGCGGCGCAG